CGAATTAAATTTTCATTTACATTCTGCTTAAAATGCTTGCATGACATTAATTGTACGAAATATTTCACATGATTTAAATTAGGTAAATTCATAAAATGTTCGAAATATACTTAAGGTATCCGACTACTTGCAACAACTTTTTTTAAAAAAAAAATGGAGATATGGATTTTTTTTGTGTTGTTTTTAGATTTATTTAGTACATTTTAAGAAACATTTTCTTAAATTAAGAAGATAAAAAGAAATTATTATTACTAAAATGGGAAAAAATGGGTAAAAATTGAGAGACGAAAAATAAAATAAACGCGGCCTATTTTGCACCAAAAGTTTATGAGAAAATTTTCAATTTTTCAATTCTAATGTGTTGTTATGTTATTCATTTTTGAAATGGCCTTCAGGATAAGAAATATTTTAATTTTTACAAAAACTAGAGCTTTTTATCTTTGCTATTATATGAAATTGCTTAAAAAATCAGTGATTATATTCATGTAAGGGGCTGTAAATTTTGTAATGAAAAAGTAATTGATAAATTTGAAGGTTGAAACATTTCTACCATTATACATAACATATACAAAAAATTTCACAGTTAATGTTTTTCAAAACTTTTATAGCAATCATTGGCCCCGTTTGAGTATTTTTTTTTTAAAAATACATGTCGCGCGAATAAAACGCGTTTTAAAGTATGACATCTTGCTTAAAATAATGACATCTGCTTTTGCTGAAACACTTGTAGTTTCTTTGATCTGTAGTGTTTTTCTGAAACACTTTGTTCTAGAGAACGGAAAATAATAAAGTTGGTATTTTTGTAAGGCTAATAAAATGGCTTGTAAATAAAATAAAAGAAAATTGTTAATTTTTAGTAAAATTCACGTAATTTTAGAGTATTCGGATACTTTAATAATTATAATACACTAAATAATAATTAATACTTAGTAATACTTGATAATATCCCTGAATTCCTTGTTTTTTAATTATAATATAAATTATTTTTAAACATTTTTTTAATAAAAATAAATATAAACTTATAATTTATTTAATTATATTTTCAGCTATGTATGACTAACTCAATGCATTCACATTCAGTATTAAACCATACTATTTCCCTTCAGATAAATCTTTTCAATTCTACAGCCGTAGGCCTAGCTTAAATTTTTCAACTCTAACGTCTATCGCTGAAACAAAACAACTTTTCAAAAGTCAGTGGATTCTAAACTGCTTTAAACTCAACGAGTGAGTAAAAATAGAAATCGAGTTTTCTTGAACGAACTTGGTTCATGAAAGATGGAAATAAGTGCAATTGTTCTCTTCTCCCCTGGTTCCACGTGCATGCCCCTAACTTTAAATAAATAAAAGATACTACATTACTTTTCCCGGAATTATTCAGCCTTTTGTCGAGTGTTTCCCGGAAATTAAGTCGCATCTTCTTCGTCTGTGACGTGGGTTCCCTCTTGTTGATTTCTGATCCGCGCGAGGTTTTATTTAAGAGGTAGGGAATGGGATTGCAACTTTCTTTTGTGCCCTGTCTTCTTGAAGGAAAGTCTACAACAGTGGGTGACATGTAAAGACCTCTTTTGCGTTTCGCTTAAGTCCTGGAGGAAAAGATTGCGGTTTTTGCAATTGTTGATAGAATTCTGTTTTACCTGGTTTCACATTTTATTGAATATTTTCGATTTAGAATCATGCTTGAAAATTCGTTGTAAAGACGTTTAGATAGTTGCAAAGACATTTGCTGATACATTTGAGCTCTGTGGTATATTCTTTTCTCAAATTATTTTATTTAAAATGGTATTTATTGCATATATGTTTTTCGCTGCTTGCATGTTTATAATTTTTGTTTTGGGGAAAATAATTTTCATTGCCCGATTAGAACCCTGGTCATCCGTGTAGATAGCAGATGCTTTGCTAGTTGAGCTACTGCGTCGCTGGAAACAATCAAAAATTAACTGTATAAAAGCTAAGCAAGAATTTCGAAGGCTATTTTCTCCGAATTGACCGGCCATTCGGCGCTAATACATTGAGGGTTGAACAGCCTAATGGAGTACTACTATTATACCAAATCTTGTCCCAAAATGAATTTCCTTAGTCATGCCCTCCCCTTGTTAGTCAAAATATAAACAGAAATCCAGAGTGCAATAAATCACAAACTCTTAAATGCCCGTTTCTCTCAAAAAATCTAACCATGTGCATGTTTTTTATACACATAAATATCCCGGATCTAATTAAAAAAACTCGGAGTCGAAAGCACACATATTGAAATTCAAAGTTTCGTTAATCATTATTCGAAAAAAAACGGACTTTAACTGCGAACTAGTGCCTTGAAAAAATTAATATAAAAACGTTTCAAACTCTGATCACACTGGTGTGATTATGGGCTTCAGAGAAGGGAAAGCGCAATCACATATACAGTGGTGGCAAAAAGTTCTGAACACACTCATTTTTTAGCGTAATTTTTGTGTTTGACTTCATTTTTCGTTGTGAAATTATCGCACTATCTTAAATATTGTTATTGATTTTAATGTATTTTTTATGCTGATTTCAAATCTACTACTAGTTTCTTAATGACTAAAATATTTTTTGTAGTAAAGCTGCCTGAACACAATAATGTGAAATATGTGCAGAATAAAACAATATAGAATAACATAATATGCAAAGAAAAATAACACGAAAATTGACAAATATGGTATATTTAATAAGCATTTTGAAAATTACATTGTTGTCACATGTTAGAAAATCAATATTTTATGGGCCAGCCGTTTGCTTTAATTACGGCTCTACATCTTTTTGGCATGAAATGCACCAATTTCAAAAGATCTTTTGTGACAATATGGTTGAAGGAAAATATTAAAGCTTCAATTAATTCACGTTTGTTTGAAGGTTTTTTCTTTGAAATTTCATAACCAATTAGAAACTATAAGTTCTCTATCGGATTAAGGTCGGGAGACTGTCCTGGCCAGTTCAATCTATTCACAGTATGGTCTTTAAACCATTTCTAGACTACCTTTGCACGATGACAAGGGGCGTTATCGTCCTGAAAAATCCCTGACTGATTCCCAAAAAGACCTCTCGCAGTTGGTAGCAATTTATTTTGTAGTATTTCAATGTAATCCATGGCTTTCACTGTTCCGCTAACGATGTGAAGTCTTCCAACACCATGAGAAGACATGCAACCCCATACCATCACTTTTGTCGGGTACTTTACTGTGGGCTTCAGACACTGAGGGCTGAATTCCTCATGAGTGCGTCGTCTTACATAGGCACTACTTTGGTTGCCAGAAATACAAAACTGACTCTCGTCACTAATGAATGTTCCCTTGCCCACGTCAATCGCCTCTTGCGTTGAAATTCAGCCAGTAATGGTTTTGGGCGTGCTTTACAGCCTCGTAACCCAATTTCCAGCAGTCTTCCTCTAACAGTTCTTGGGCGCACACTCACATTTGATATCAAAGTCCATTGTTTCAAAATTTGCGAGGAATTAAGCTTTCTGTTTGAAAGTGAAATTCTGTGCAATAACCTGACTTCACGTAAAGATGTTTCTCTTGGTCGTCCTGATTGCCCCCTGTCCGCAATAAAATTTGCTTCAGAAAATCTTTTCAAGGTTCTCACAACAGTAGAAAGGCCACATGGTACTTTAGCAGCTTTAATATTTTCCTTCAACCATATTGCTACGAAAGATCTTCTTTTGAAATTGGTGCATTCCATGCCAAAAAGATGTAGAGCCGTAATTAAATCTAACGGCTGGCCCATAAAATATTGATTTTCTAACAAGTGACAACAATGTCATTTTCAAAATGCTTATTAAATATACCGTATTTGTCAATTTTCGTGTTAGTTTTCTTTGCATATTTTGTTATTCTATATTGTTTTATTCTGCACATATTTCACATTATTGTGTTCAGGCAGCTTTACTACAAAAAAATATTTTAGTCACTAAGAAACTAGTAGTAGATTTGAAATCAGCATAAAAAATACATTAAAATCAATAACAATATTTAAGATAGTGCGATAATTTCACAATGAAAAATGAAGTCAAAAACAAAAATTACGCTAAAAAATGAGTGTGTTCAGGACTTTTGGCCACCACTGTATGATACCGTGGGCCCTGGAGGAAGAAAGGCGGGGTCACATATGTGTGATCATGGTCCTGAATGAGTTAAGCCGAAAGCAGTAATATTCTTTGAATAGTAAAGAAGATGAAGTACATTGCATATATATGTTAGAAAACAATTGATACCCTATACCTAAATTTTTTAACCCAAGTTATATTTTTGTTAAAGTTTATATATAAAATAGTCTTATTATATAATGATTATCATTATCATTTTCATTTACCATTTTCGAGACATCAACGTTCAATTTGTCATTTTTCTAAAATGCGTTGAAATACAGCTATTTCTCTCCGGGGTTCATGGCAAAAATTTTGGTATAAAAAGGTGACTATGGGCGCAGTAATTTTAGGAACTGGTGAAAGGGATCTGATGCATGCTTAATCTAAAGAGGCTCAGAGTTTTCACGTTAGAGTAGGGGAGATGTTTGAAGAGTTGCTTGTATAACACTCTTTTGATTTGACCGCAGTAAAAAATTACGCGGAGCTCCACCTCAGATAGCTTCAAACTCCGCCGCTTTAAAAAAAAACTTGCAATCAGTCAAATAACTCATACACTATAAAAGTCAAATGCATCTAGTTCAGAGACTGTAGTACTTACATTGCCTCATTATTCTTTTCAATTCCTACTATAGTTCACTATCTCCTTATATATTTATCTACATATATCTTGTTCAAATTTTCAATCGCTAATAAAATACCTTAATCCATTATATAAATTAATTTATCCACACGCACACACTCAAGTTGAAATACATTTTTTAAGTTGTAGTGGATGACACTTGATGTTAATGCAGTTTTTTCAAATATTAATTGATTAATTAAATTAAAAAATGAATAAACAGTAACAAACAAAAATAACAATCTAACTATATATATAGAAAGGAAAATCTTTAATGGTATCCCTGTATCGCAGTGGATAGCGTGTTGGACTTCTTATCCAAAGGTCGTGTGTTCCAATCCCACTTGGGATAGCCTAATTTCTGAGAATGTGTGATTTCTTTTTTACTTTACTATCTTATTAGAATAATTAAATTTATTTAATGAATGAACAGTAACAAACAAACAAACATAGTCCAACACCATACATAAAAAGAAAATTTTTTGCGAAGGAAAATCCCTTTCTTTTTTGTCACTTAATATTGTGATTCTGTCGTATTTATATACATACTTACAATAGTTGTAACTATTCAACAAAAAGTAACTAAAATAAAATTTTTCTTTGTTGACGTAAGTAGGAATTGACTGAGTTTTTTTTATATAGTACTTATTTCATTTATGATTTCACTGTAAGAACCTAGCGGTATAATACATAAGACATTTCCTGATTTTCCTAAAAAAGCTTTATTTTTAATGAATTTATTTTCTTTTTAAATTAATGTAGTGGCAAGCTTACTTTTGCTACATTCAAAGCATCCAGTCACAAGATTTTATCTCAGTATAATCATTTACAACTTTGTCATACTTGCTAAACTTTTGATATCTCGCACTATTTATCAGTCTGAAATATTAACTTAATCCTTTTGAGTGGTTGCCAGTTTCACATCTGGTTTATGAATATGCCACTTAAATATTTCACACGTAATCCGCGAAGCAAGAAGAAAGATGTCAAAATTGTTTTTGCGCCTGCGACATATTTGATAGATTATCACGTAAAACGCATAAAATGAGGTTAAAAACATTTATTAAAAATACTTCAAAAACCAGAAGCAAAATAGTTCACTATTTTATTCTTTTTCGTTTTTGGGCCATATATCTATGTCGTGATTAATATGTGAATATATTTATTAAAGTGTATTATGAAGATCTTTTTTATTAATACTAGGAGAAGGGGTAGGGAGGGTACGCGCACGCATTGTACAACTTTTCCTACTCATTGCTCAAATTTTAAAGCTAATTTACATGTATTATGTATTTCTTAGTGTTGGTACATGTCTAGGCCTATACCGTAGCGTAACAGTCCTTGCGTGTGAGACAAATAAACAAATTTATTACATCTTCTCACGAAAAAAGAAATTTTTATATAGAGAAAGATTTATATAATATATGAAGAATTGAAGAAATTAGGAATGTTTAACTCATATTATACAATTTATATTAAAACATAGTTTTATGGAAGCGTAATTAAATGTGTTAATAATTTATTGAAACCAATATATTTTCTTGTATGTAACTAAATCACTCAGTTTGTTATTATATCATCATTTTTCGTTTCATGAATGGAACATTTGTTCAAAAATTGTTGTTATGCAGGCAAGGAAGATAAAAAGACGTTGTAGATACTAACGGCTCAGGGAAAGGTCTTATACATCTTACGTTCTTCGTCACAAAAACTAATAGAACTTTTGCTGTTACTTAGTGTGTAACATTATGCAACTCTTAAAGTATCCGACTACCCTAAAATTGTGAATTTGGCCAAAAACTGACAATTTTTTTTTAATGATTTTGCTTTATAGGCCAGCCATCTTATTAGCTTTATAAAAATACCAAGTTTATCATATTCCGTTCACTAGAACAAAAACTACAAGTGTTTTAGTAAAAGCAGATGCCATTACTTTAAGTAAGATGTCACGCGTTTTACTCGAAATGTGTATTTTTTTGAAAATGCTCAAACGGTTCCAGGGATTGCTCAAAAAGTTTTGAAAATAATTAACTGTGAATTTGTTTCTGTAAGTTCTGCATAAAGTAGAATTGTATTAACCTTCAGATTTATCAATCACTGTTTTATTACAAAATTTACAGTCCCTTATGTGAATAAAATCACTGTTTTTTTAGGCAATTTCATATAATAACTGAGATAAAGTGTTCTAGTTTTTGTAATAAAAAAATATCTCTTATATTAAAGGTCATTTCAAAAGGAATAACATAGCAACACATTAGAATGAAAAAATTCAAAATTTGCTTATAAACCTTTGATACAGAATGGGCCACGTTTATGCTATTTTTTGTAAATTTCCCCCCATTTTTTCCCAGTTTAGTAATAATATCTTTTTCTCTTTTTAATTTTAGCACATTCTTTTTAAAATGTATTAAACAAATCTAAAAATAACAAACAAATCCCCAAATCTCCCTTTTTTTAAAGTTGTCGCAACCAATCGGTAAGGACATAATCACCACCCTTGTTTCGGTTTAAAGTTGAGAAATTTTACCTCCAGTCAGCATATACTCTTCATACAGCACCATTTGACTATTATCTGTTCAGGTCACTGCCAAACTTTTTTGATGTAAATAAATATATAAATTATGACGGTGTCCAAATGGTAGTGAAAAGTAGTAGTACTTTGTTTCCAAAATAGATAACTTTTTTCCAGTGGGTTAGATAAGCTAACAGAGCGCTGGCAGACATTGGCAGCTAACAAAGGATATTATAGTTTAAATTAAATTCTAAATAAAAAGTGAAACAAAAAACTGTTTTTTTTTTACTTCAGAAAAAACGACAGAACTTTTCTTTACACCCGATACGTAAACTATGAGCGACTAGGCTACCTAAGGCTTGCAAGAATTCTTCATAATATAGCTCTATAAAATGTATTATGATATTAATAAGTATTTCTATTTTAATATCTGATGCATTATTGTGCCTCAAAGTAAACTCTTCATCTTATAAAATTTGAATACATTTAGAAACATTGTTCGTTACGTATTTCCAATATCGCAAAATCGAACAATTAAAATTACCGTTCCAAATCTATCGATTGAAGGGAGTATCGGAATCTTCATCTCCCTTAACAATTTGAGCAATCAACGTTCCTCCGTATTTGTTTAAGACGGAGCTTCGTTTACACATGCCCCCTTGAATCGAAGGGAAAAGCGCTAATTGGAGAGACTTTTTAGCATTAATTCAATGGACAAGATACAAATTTAAGGTTTTGTTAAGAGACTCGTTAGACGCAGCGACGTTTTCAAAGACTGTGATGATTCTGTTTAATTATAGAAATAATATTTAAAAACTTGAAAAAAAAATCTTTTAAAAGAAAAAGTGCTTACAAGAGCTTGTATTTCTTTTTAATATTTCAAGGATAAGAATATTTTTTTCTCTATATATCTTTTAAAAAAATGAGCAACTGTAATTTATTTTATGCATTCAAGGAGTTCTTTACTGAACTTTATTTGTTTATTGAAATAAATAATTACTTTTTCAAAGATGGTCTTTTATTTTTCCACTATAAGAATGCGTTTTAATAGATTTCCAAATGCTCTAGAAATGTTTTCCCCCCTCTTTATTCACTCTGTATGCTATTGTTGTTGATTACTATAAGGATTCTTCTAAAACTCTATTTTTTTCAGATTAAAATAACTGTTAAAATAATTTTTTGGGTCCGATTAGTTTTTAAATTTTTTTACAAATAGCTTAGCTTTCATAATTATAATGCATTTGTTGAAATAAATCTATATATTGCTGTTACTATCTAAATAAAAGTGTTATCGTAACTGATATGTAAACCAGAATTTAGGATGAATAATAATTCCACTGTCTTTGTTTTGTCTTGGTGTAGCATCAATATATTGAAAATCTTGTAAAAAAAGATACATATAATAAAATATACAAGCTTTTATGTAATAGCTTTTATCAAATATTATAATAAAAAAAGAGTTATTTTTCTTATTCAAGAGTAAAGTTCATAAAAAAATTAAGATTAATTTGTAGAAAATATATCGGAAAAGTCTCATTTCTTCATAGAACTTTAATGTTTTCTTCTCCCATCAATACGACTTTGCTAGTCTTTCGTAACTTTTCTTAATAACACTAATTAGGATCAATTGTATTTACATGCATGCAATTTTTTTAAAATATTTTTTTTTAAATTTACTTTATATTTTTATTTAATTAAAGAAAAACTAGTCCTTCGGAATTAACAAATTTAACGAATCAATTTTACTCCACTGATATAATTTGAAATAAATCTTTTTTTAAAAAAATAAGAATCAAGATATTTTTCTTTGAATTACATCGATTGATTGAAAAGGCATACTCTGAATTTAATTGGATCTTCCCGTCAGATTTCAATATGACCAATTATTTTGATTAGCCATATACGTCCCTATTCCCCCAGGGCTTTGTTATTTTGCACTGCATTGTAAAAAATTGAATTTTAACCGTTAATGAAACAGAATATTGCATTACAAACAATGCAGAATGCATTTGAAGTAGTCTTAAATAGTTTTCCCGATGGCCTGAAGCGATGATTAGTCCAAAAATTCAACTGTAATTATTAAGAACTCGTTTTTATTTTGAAAGAGAAGTAATACTATATTTTTATTAATTAATAATATTATTCTATTATGCATTGTATTGCTGTTAAGATTTCCTAACTTTTTGGTTAAAACGTGTTTCAGGCAAACAACAGCTAATTATTTTATGAAAAAAATGATTTTCTTATACTTACTAGTAATAGCTATTGTAGGTTGGCGATAGTTTTATTTGAGTTGTCGCCAACATGAACATTGGCGATATTATTAATATCCAAATGAGACTAAATTCAAAATAACTGCTTTTTTTTGATAATGATAACGGATGTAGAACAACAGAGCTCATTACTTTTCAACTGCAGCTAACATATTAAAAAATAGTGACATCTATTTATTTTGTTGTTGTCGTCTCGTGCAAGTATTGCTGAGAAATCAAATATCGCACAAGGCGTCCAAAAAGGCCGTTTGCAAAATGGTCCTAAAATTGCTCTAAATTTCGACGACCTTTGATGAATAAAGCAGTTGATTGCCCGTGGGGTTTAGGTCTAAGTTGTTAAGTTTAGCAAATATAGAAGGATAATTAAAAATAGGATTAAGAGAAACTTGAATGTCAGGACAACTGCACTGATCACGGAAATCAAATTTGCCAGAGTCGTAAAAACATCTATTTATACTACCAACAACTGATTTAAGTCAGAATTTGGTGTGTTTGGTTTCATGGTCCCTATAGCCCGTAAGCACCATTGTTTTTTTAGATCATGTCGTCTTCGCGTTGTAGGGTAGT